AGGACATGTCGTGTCAAATGCCTGTGTCTGTACTACCTAGGTGGGTGATCTAGGAGCTAGTAGAGTACGGGGAGCCCTCAACTCTTTCCCCTGGATATGTATCACTTCGCTCTTATGAATAATAGTGAGTTCTACCAATAATAACAAAATACAAGCAGATTCCAATATACCTGAGTCTCCTACCTCTTTAACTTCAATATAAGCAGATTCCAATATTAGACTTAGGTAAGCAAAAATCTAAAAATTTCATGTTCTTTTTCCAGATCAAGAGATTTTGTTTTCCACAGTATAAGTGGTTCATGAACTAAAACGACCTATACATTACATTTGTGATTCGAACAACATATAGAATCATGAAGTATTTCAATCGATGGGAACACACAATACAGATGGTGCATACTGTGTCACTATCAACCATGGGTACATCATAAAATAATTCAGAATTGGAAAGCTCCACTTGCATCCTATTGAAGCATACAAATTTTAGTAATGTGGAGGTGATACTAGTTTACTTTTACTACCAGGGAGTTTGATCAATTACCATTAGTTTTGGATAGCATTCAAAGAATGGTAAAGATCGTTCTGAAATTGTAACATAAAATATTGCGTAGGGTATGCAGATCAAGACAACAATAAAAATGGGAAAAGTGCTACTTATCTTTTTTAACCTCAATTGTAGTATGGTCTAATAACTATTTTATTTTTAATCATTAATAATTCTGATATAACCAATCATCACTCCTATCTAAACATTCAAAGGGAAACAAGAGGCCATATTATCACTCTCAAGCTTCATAGGTCATGGTACTCGATGTTCTAGTTTTCTTAAATCCTTCCATCTAGTATGATAGTTGCCTCTACTAACCAGTAACCACATTCAGACACTCCCATCATGCCAATAGCCCATATTCTCATTCCCAAGCTTCACTAATCACTATACATAATCATTGCACACACCTGAATATAATATAATGAAATAATAATTGAGAAAATCAGAGAAATGAAGATATACCTCCTTAATTTTCTTGTTTATGATATCCCATGCAATATGTGAGAGAAAGCCTCCAGCTACAGAAAGCAACTGAACGATTCTTGTTGCAACAGCACGCGGTCTTTTCCCCCAATATGCAGATATGCTAGCAGGATCATAAGCCAAGGGCAAAAACTCACTGCTCTCATCTACCTAAAGTAGAATAAATTAAATATTTAAACACATACAATAGGAAAGGGAAAAAAATCACCTTGAAAAATGAGCTTGCTAAAGCTTTTTCAAAGAGAAGTATATGAGTTTCATGCCATACCAATTTAATTTTTTTCACACTACAACTTCCATGAAAAGGTGTTTAGCCCCATAGCAGCTTCTCCCCTAATGGGAAATTATTCCTAAGAAGGAAAGATTGACTATCAACTTCCACATCTCTATTTGGACCAAACAAAACATCAAAATGATAATACATTAATTCATATCCATAATCTTCCAAGTCTATTGTAACAAAGACAATCAACTCCGACATGATGGATACAATAGTCACGAAAATATATCAGAGTTTAGAATAGCAGATTTTACCTCTTCCTAAGTGAACTTTTCACAATTAAAGATATATGCCGGTACGACAGTCAATCAGAATATTATAGGTAAACTCAGTTTGTGCTGGAATTCAAGTCCCACAATATAGATATAATTTTTTTATCAAAAAAAAAATACAAACAAACACTTCCATTATTGGTTGCCCATGGAATATGGGAAGGTCTGTCTTCATTTTCAAATCTCAAGAGTTCTTGACATTGCCGAAGTCTTAAAAACTTAGACATTCTTTCAGTTCTTGAGATTTCTCCACCTTCTATTCCTTCTTCTTTAAAGTAGTTCAAATCAATACCTAGAAAGGATTCCATGCCCAAATGACAAAGGAGAAGTACTAGCTCCCACTTCATCCCTCAAGTTCTCTTGCACTGCACCCAAACTTTCCTCTCTCTTGGTCATGACACTTGCCCAATGGTTCTACCTCATCAAGATCTAATCCACGTCATCTTTAAAATATTAATTGTAATGTCTAATGCTTTATTGCTTTTCACCACTGATCAATGAATCCGATTCATAATATTCTCAACTAGGAGGAATCGTTTCATTAAAAACTCCCAATTGAAGACCATTTTTGTTGGTCAAGAATAGCAGCTCCAAACTCTCCAGTGCAAACTTCACTATCAAAGGCCTTTGGTTTTCTTCATCAAGCCAATATTGCCTCAGCTCAGGATTCCTTGTGGTTCCGACTGATGGAACTAACAATTTTTTGCCAATTAGCTAATCAATAGCTCAAGTATAGATGCCTGTAAGGCAGTTACAAACTCAACTGTCCAAGCAGGAACAAAGTAACTAATCATTCACTAGCTAAAGCAAACAAACTAAAAGTTATCAGAAAAGGGTTCCTACCATGCCTAGATGAAAAGCTTGTGTAATCAGATCAGACCAAATTCCCAAAAACAGTCTCTAGAAGTTCAAAAAGAAAGTGAAGACCTTGTATATATTCTAGGTGCATGCAAAAAATAAATAAATAAATGAGCAATTAAAACAAACTCATGAGTTCGGGAGCAGATGGACAACAATTTTGTGCATATACAACAAGATTAAAGTCAATCTTGGTTACCAATATTGATTTTACTCCCTTTGCATCTGAATAATTAATTGTATATATCTCGCTTCCATATTTCAAACCTACACTTCAGGTCTTGAGGTCTTTTCATTTTAATTTCATAGACACATCAAACATGAGTTGACCACAAAACTATGTTGCACAATATATGAGAGAGAAAAAATTTGTACGTTAATCCCCACACCTATACCTCAACAAGAGTATTGCCTCAAAAATAAAATAAAAGAACCACGCATTCATACCTCAACAAGACGGAGCTGAACATTATCCTCTGCAAAAAGGGAATCTTTTAAATTCTGTCCCCGTAGTCCTCTCATGAGTATTGCCAACTCTTCATTTTCTTCCATCTGGGCTCTGACTCTTTTAATTTCCTTTGAAACGTCTCCAATTTTCTGCCATTGCTAATATCAGAGCAGCGCTCCACGAAAAATAAAAGACTTGAAGCATGTTTAATCAATTTTGAGGCACATCGATATGCACATAAACTCTTGATGAGAAGTACTCCTTGACAGACAAGGAGTCGCAATGAAACTATTCTAGTTAAAAATTAAATGATAATTTATCCATTTAACGTTGGATGATAAAAAGGAAATATTTGGGTAATTGGTATCTAACAACTACAAACTATTCTATCTCAACGTGAACGGTAGAAAATATTAGAACCATCAAGTCTACGGACTAGTTCGCCACTCTTAACTTCTTCTAGACCAGTAAGCTCTGGACTCTGGACAACTATGCACACTAGGAAGTTTTGTTTACATTTTACTTAATATTTCGTCAAATATTCAGGACAATTGTTCAATCTCAGTGTTCTTTAAGCAATAATTCAAATTCTAAGAAAATATGCAAATTCAACTATCATTCTACTCCACATTTCTGTCATTAGAATCCTAATAAAATTCAATTCCGAACTAAAAAAGTAGGAACAAACCAGCTCCAGAAAAACTCAAAACCACTAAAAAGAAAGGCTCATCGAGGAGTAATTACAGTGGAAACTCCGTTGACTGCTTTTGGAGCCGGAGGAGACCTGGCCGATCCATTGTTAGACCTTTTCGGCGAAGAATTGGACGAATCGGTCCGCGTCGGTTTCGGCTCAGTCGCAACCGCAAGAACCTTACCGGCACGCCTGCGGGACTTGACGGTTGTTCTCGGAAACGGAAGGCACGATGGAAATGCGCGGCGAATGGTGTCGATTCCGCAGGAGACGAGCTGTGGTGCTGCTGCGTCCATGGCGGAACCTTCTTCTTGTTGTTCTTGTTCTTCTTCTGGTAAGCAGTGGAGTAGAGAATTGGAAGAAGGAAGAGAAAGGACTGAATTGACTTTCTGATGTCAGTGGTGGTGGTTTGGTTGGCTAATTGCTATTGTGCATTGAGAAATAAGGGCCGGGAGACCGTCTGGTCTCGGAAGTGACACGTGGCGTCATTTGGATCGGGGAACCAGTTTTCCCTGCAGTGAAACTTTTCATAACAAAAAAAACCGTTTTCAATTTGTTACGGCTGAATTATTATAACAATAATAAAACTCTGTTCTTTTTTCAAAACAACGTAGATTCGAACTCAGAAACACTTCGTTTTGACTACAAAAGTTTAGATTGTTTACATAATGTTGTAAAAACCTTCTTTCTTGATGGTCGACAATGTTTGCATTTCTCAAAAATAAAAATGAAGTTTATTTCTCTATTACTAATTTTTTTCAAATATCCATCTAAAAACATCAACTGCTTCCAATTTAATTTTGAAATATCTAAAAAAAATCAATGTATTTAATAAAGCAGTTAATTTTGTATTTAATACATTTTTTTATTTGTGTCGTTTTTTGATTTTCAATCTTTTTATCTAACGAATCTTAGAACTCTCGACTTATACCTATTTCTTATTCCCTAAACTTTGCATAAATACTCTATTACTATAGCCTCCTCTGCCAGGCCCTGTTCGGCGACGATAATTGTGGAGTCGGATCCAATACCGGGCATGAGAGGCCCATGTTTGAAACGATCTCTGGGGGCCCAAACTATTATCATCTACGTGAAGTTGGGCCTACGTTTCACCTCCTCAATGATGTAACTGGGCCTATCAAAGAACGTTGAGGTTTGAGAAGTTATCTGTAGGCCCAATTAATGGGCCCTTATGATTATATTACAGATCCATCGGCTTCGGTTATGAAGGTCCATATGGACGAAACTATTTTGTTTCTCTCGAGATTGGAATTTTGTAATATATTTAGCCAATTAAATTATACAAAACAGCTCTCAAAAAAAAATAATAATAACAAAACCTGCTATTCTTTTAATCTTTTACATAGATATTGTGAAAAAAAATTGAGACTGAAAAAACAATCTAAAAATGGCTATACTTTAATTAAAAAACACAAAACCATACATCAAACCGTAGTAACTATACAATGCACTGAAAAGGCAAAAGCCTTAATGACTAATAAAGGGACACAAGGCTAATAGAGCATCAAAATGCTCTCTACAATGTTTTTTTTTTTTAATAATACTTACATGCTAACGAGTCACCATCTATTTTCTACTGACCACCATTAAAATTTTTACAAGTAGGAGAGAAAAATATAAAAGGATTGACTTTATTGTTTCTCAAAAAATAAAAGAGCTGTCAGATTTTAAGTGGTGGTCAGAATGAAGATAGGTACTAATTAGTCAACATCTAAATATTTTTTTCGTTTTTCTAGCAGTTAAAACCACGACAAACGGACAAAACTATGATCAAAATCAAGATAATGAGGATGGCGAACACAACCAATTTTATCTTCATATTTTGGTACCACATCTTCCTCTTTAGTTGAGTTCCACCCCTCTTGAAATCTTGAGCCTTCAAAACCAAGCATCAAATAGTAAGTTTCAGCTTCAATCATAAAAGTAACTTGACAACTTAAAATATCAAACGATTGAATCACTTCTAAACCTACAAATTTAGATAAATAGGCTAGAGCATAGTTATTTTTTCGTTAAATATATTAAAATTTCCCTAATCTTCCAGGAAACTTTCAATTTGATCACCAATATTTTTAAAGTTCTCAATTTCACTTTTAATGTATTGAAAATTCTCAAATAGGTAATTTCAAAAATATTTTGTTAAAATTTGTTAAAAAAAAAAGGGTATTCTCCTTAAATTATTATTTTATTAATGTATTGAGACATGTGAATTATCTCGTTTTAAGAGTGAATGAGTTGAATCTCGCACGTAAAGTAACATTCAAGTAATATGCTGATATGTTCAAATATGTTAATAAAACAACAACTTCACCCCACTTAAACTTTGGAAAGTTCTGACCACGTCGGAAACATTTAAAAGGCTAACCTGTGAACGAAGATTGTCGGTTTTGTCTACCAATTCCTCCACCTTTGTACCTCGTTCCATAACCTGTAGAACAAATGCAGCAACCCACCAGATACTTGTATCATATACAAATTTCAAAAATAAGAATAATCAGTATGAAGGAGGAGCAGTCAAACATCAGCAGGAGAATGAACACATCAAAAATTAAGAAATCAAAATAACACCCAGCTCTTAAAGCTTAAAAATGTCTTAAGACTGAAAATCTGCAGCTCCTTTTTACCTTGTCAATGTTCTCAATCATTACAGCTTTAACTTCAGAAACCTGAGCCTTCACTTGCATGTGCTTACTGCTCTCTTCAGGATGATCTCCACAGTATTGCATATGATCCTTCATTTTGGGTCTGCAACATTGTTCACCAAGGCATTATGTAACTTCCATCAGGAACCAAAAGCACACCTGATATAAGCAAGTGAACAACAATATGTTACCCAAATTCCTTGCTCAGACTCTTGGCAACAGCAGTTGCAGCTTTTCCTCCGCCATATCTCTTGTTGAAGTCGTCCTTTATCCGCTCAAGAAACTCCATTGGAACATGTCTTCCTGCAGCCTCAACTGCAACTATGCAATAGGCTGCAGCATCAAACGAGAAACGAAAACGTTAAAACTGTACACGGGAAAGAAAAATTGGAGCTACCAAGTTCTTTGCACGATGCAAAAAGAAACACAATGAGGTTGAACTACACAGCCTCAATTGGAACTGCATAAATACGCTATAACATTAAACAAGAAATGGAAACGTTAAAATTGCCCGCTCAAACAATGGGAAACACAGAACGGGTTTTAAATTTTCGAACACAATTCAGAGCATCAATGTTCAGAACTAAGAATTAAAGAAAAAATCTAACTGTTTCTTACTTTAACTCGGGAATCATCTCATAAATATTAAATTAATAGTCCTCGTGAAACCAAACCAACACATCACAACACATCACATTATTTTGTTAACAGACACCATATTCTCAAAACTTCTCACTTCATGTATCAAGAAAATTCCCTAATTGAAACTAAAAAATAAAATCAAACGTTACACATTAGATATTACCTATACATGATTAGGAGTAATATACATATTACTATAGTTAATTGGCTCTAGATAGGTCATTATAAACAGAGCCCTCTGTATTCATTATGATCACACCAATAAAATCAGAGGTCGTCCTCAAGTTGACCAAATCGCCACAAGATAAATTGCTCAATGCTCAATTCCAGCCATCAAATAAACCACTAAAAAAAAACAATCTCGAAAACAAATAACAACAACAGTAGATAGAGATTGAAATATCAGAATCTACAGCAGAAATTTCCACATACTGAATCCATTGTCGACAAGGTAGTTGAAGGTATGACCATCGCAGGTGTACGTGAACCTGTTGTTACCAGCAGGAAGCCTCTGGAGGCACTGAACTGCGATGCTGGGAAAATTTCCGGAGAAATCGGAGTACTCGGCGAGAATCACCGTTCCTCGAGCGACGAAGCTGTAGATCAAAGATTGTTGCGCCATGATTCAGAAAAAAAAAAAACAGAACAATCGGCGATCAGCAGCTTCAAGAACAAAACAACGATGGAGATTTCTGGATTCTGTATCGCTTTTGCGTTGCGCTGAAATGAGGAGAGTAGAGATATTGAAGGGGAATTGGAAGTCAATGGCGAAGGGGGCGTTGAATAATGTTTTTTGCTTGCGCGTTAAATTACGGAGTCCGTTCTACGGAAATTTTTGAAAATTTAAATTTGAAGCGGACTCGGTCTCTGCCCCGATTTTCTTCCGACGCTTCTAAAACCTTTTCACCTAATTATTATTTAATTATTTTAATTAGAATTACAAGTTATGAATTATAATATTAAACAAGTATTTTGAGGAATTTTCATAAAAGGAAGAAAAAAACCTTTTTGGGGTGAGAGAGGCTCGAACTCTCGACCTCAGGATTACTCGATTGCTATGAGACCTACGCGCTAGCCAACTGCGCCACCACCCCAATTTGTTATTTGATTGAAAATATTATATAATTTAAAATAAATTGTGAATATACAATTAGATTTTTTAAATAGAAAATGCAATACAGAGCCAGATGTTTTAACCGTCAACCTAAATTCGTTAGCAGCAATTATTTTTTTAAAATACAATAATGATCACAAATATAATAATCTTAGATTCATGCACATTACTTCCTTATTAACATTTTGATCAATCTATTAGATTGAAGTATACAAAACTAGTGGTCATTGGAATTTGAACTCGTCCATTTAGACCAGCGAGCCTATGATAATTACAGTTATAATTAATTTTTTGTTATAAAAATTTACCCATGATTATAAATATTTTTTTTTTTTTTTGAGAAAAATGATTATAATTTTTATAGTATAATTTGATGAATTCATTATTAAATTTAATACATCTTTAAATAATTTTATATTATATAAGAATATTTTAAATGAAATTTTGAATATAGGATCAAGCGAAGATAGATAGTTAACCTAGTTCAAATTCGCTTTAAATAGAAGGTATAAATTATTGGATATATGAAGATGGGCTGGGCCCATTATCTTGGTGTTGAATTGGCCTTATGTAAAAATCAAATCCCACACGGACAGAAATTATTTTTGTTGGTTTCAAAGGTCAAAAATGGGATTTTCCATTTTTTAACCAGAAAACTTGGCGGAATTAGAAATAGAAATGGTATGGATGGAAGAAGTTGAATATAATTATTAAAAAATAAAACTTATTTTTCATGTGACCTATTAGTTTATTTATGTCACATTTATTTAAAATAGTAGTTTTCATCGATATTTTTAACCAAATATAACACATTAAGTTAAAACCTAAATAATAAAATCTTCACACTCCAATCACAATATTAAATCTATAAAATAAAATATTGTATTAAGATTTTTGTAGTTAATAAATCTGTAGACTTTCAAAAATATTCAATAATTCTATAAATATAATAGATTCAGCTTTCAAATATTTTAATAGTCAAAATACACAATAGTTCAGTATAATTAACAATTATTTTTAATTAAAATATTTTGGATTCGAATTTCCATCTAGTACTTAAAAATTATTTTAATAGATTTTTAAACTATTAATTTTGTTTCGAATAAATATTATAAATTTTAAAATTTATTTCATAAATTATTAATTATTAGAAAAAGAATTGAGAGTAGATACAAAACAATTTTATAATTTGTACCGCATTTGAACCGTTTTGATATATCATTCGGTCCATTTGACACCACAAACATTTAAAATTCAAATATGTGCCGACTTGATGTTTTCCACCACATTTTTGCGCTTTACAGGACATTGGCATGGCTGCTACGTGTCAGCCAAGAGAGCATCCAACGTGGCTATCCACTTCCATTCAGCTGTAACACCTGACACGTGTCACTTTTTCTTGGAGAGCAGAAAAGTCAATTTGTGGTCATTAGGTGATTAGTTTAATTGTATTTAAAGCCCATTTACTTACCGGTAATTAATCAGTCGTAATAAAAACTTTGATTCCCTTATTAAATGTTGACCCACCTCAAACTCTGTAATTTCATTACACTACTACAACTCCATCAATCTCATTCTCATTTGTTATTCCATAGACCCCACATATATATTATAATTAATGTACCACTTTTACTCATTCTCTCCATCTATAGATTAGATCCATATAATTTTTAATTAATTTTTTTATATTTTTATAATTTCTTCTCTATTTATATTCCAATTTTTATTAGTTGATGTTATTTTATTATATAATATTAATATTAATTAATATATATTTTTTAAATAGATATTATTATTTTTAAATATTAGAATAATAAAAATTAATAATATGTTTTATTAAAGTTTTGTTCTAATAAAAAATATTTTATTTAATGTAATTTTATTTTAATTATTCATTATGTATTAACAGTAGATAAATTGTTATAATAAGAAATATTTACTATCATTAATAAATTAAATTAAAATTTATTATTATTGTAATTTAAAAAAGATTAGCACAATAATATATTTGTAATTGGCTAAAAAGGAGGAAGGGGTATATTAGTAATTGTCATATATCTTATTCCGATTCCGGCTCCAGACAGTTTTAATAAACAACATCAATGGAATAACATTACGATTCCGATTGATTTCATTACGATTATTTTCTATTACGATCGCGGTTAAGTAAACGTGGCCTGAGTTCAAAACATGTTCATCTTATGGCTAAATGAAGTGCACTCAGTACCTCTCTATGCGAAGAACCAATATATTTTTTATAGTTTTAATTTCCTCTAAATTATCCGCCTATACTAAAAAGTATATATATCATTAATTATTTAAATATTAATATTTTAAATTAATCCATCTAAACGAAGTTGAATCGGTTAAAACATATATCTTAAATAAAAAAATCAAAATTTTAAATTTTACTTTTATTCAACTAAAAAAAGTAGCGGGTGATAATTTATTGGAAATACTGAATGGACATTATAATTTTAATTTATACCTCCACGGCAGGCAACCACTTTAATTTTTTATTTGTGGGATAAAGTAAAAATGTTTGCTTTTTTATTTTTAGTCTCTTTTGGCTTTTATTTCTTTGGCCTTTCTTTCTTTCTTNGACATGTCGGCACAGCTACAATTAATTCACACCAAAAATACTATTTATATCTTTTATCAAATTGTTTTCTTTTTATGTTATATATTGATGCTACCAACCCATTATCTATTAGGTCTAAGTCGCTAAAACTACTGCATCAAAGGGATTGAACTACTATAATAGCCGTTTGATTTTTTTAAATATAAAAAATTAAAAACGAAAAATAGTTGGTTATATATATATTCAACCAAGAGAAGAAGACATTTATTATTACTTTTTTAAGTTTAAGATTTAGTGTACTAAATAAAGTGGAAGATTTAGTGTCTTATTCCAACAATTATCCAACTAAAAAACTATTTTTCTTTCCATTTTTTATTTTAGTAATCTACTTTATCTTATTTAAAAAATTAAATATTTTGAGCTAAATTTAAAAACCAAACAAAAAAGATTTATCTTCTTCATATCTCTTGGAAATTGGGTTAAGATTTCAAATGGGTCTTTTTTTCCGAGGTAAACAAATGATTGGCAAAAATCCATAATATTTGAAAAACAAAACAAATCTAAAACATAAGAATTACCCCAAGTAATTTTAATAGTTTTTTTAGAATACGACTTAACCTAATAATCTTTAATGCATTAATAATAAAATCGGAAATTTTAAAATATAAAGAGACAAATTATATATTTAGCCAAAAGGAAATTAACAATTATAATAGGTGAAAGAGACGTTAAAAACCAACTCTTGACATGTATAGTTTCATTAAACTTTATCTAATCATCTAATCCATATATTTTTAAATTTGTAATAATTTAGTCTATAAACTTAATCCGTAACAATTTAATATGTTTACGTTCTAAATTTTTTAACGATTTCGTCCCTACTATGTAAAATCCTGTTAAGATTAATCTGTTTCTTCATTTCTCTTATCTATGTAGATCGATAAACAAAGACTAAATGTGTTTACCATCTATGTTAATTAATAGAAATAAATATTTCACCTCTTGATACTACGTGATTAGATGATATTTTCTACAGTAGAAACTAATTTATTATCAAGTTTAAACTATAAAAACTAGTTTGTTGGATGCTAAAAATTGAGGGCGTCCAATGGCATGGAATAGCTTATGGAGGCTATTTTTTGGTTGGCGCATTTTGTCAAACACCTCGCGGGCAATTGCAGGATTTAAAATTATGCCGTCTTGACTACTTCTGTCCTTCAAAATTATTGTGGTCGGCGGCTGATTGGGTCCAGTTTTAGGAGCCGTCGCTGTCGGCACTCGGCCCACGCCACGCCCTAAGATTGAGGACCAGGTGATCCGTCGACGCCCTGCCCTCCATTTAGTCCAAGTACGGGTTTCAAGTTTTTCTTTTAGTACCACATGTAGAGGTAATGATCGAACTCATAACTTTTTTAGTAATTACGGCTCCCAAGTTAAACCATAAGTTCGGTTCTTAAATTATCAAATAGTTTGATTAAATGGTTTATAAATTTTAGAAATTATTTTTCATAGTTTAATATGTCATTTAATTTTTTTTATTAATAGGTATTCATTCAATCTTTTTATTTTATATTTGACCATCTGTACCTATTAGATAACTTTTTTTCTAAGTTCCATAATCTATTATATACAAAATTAAAAAGTTGGAAGTTGTTTATGATCAAAACTTATAATTTAACTTCAAATTATTTTGCACTATCTCAACTTAAACCTTTAAGATCCGTTTGAAAACGATTTCTTTTTTAGTTTTTAGTTTTTTTAAAAACAAAATATTTGATAACCATTTTAATTTTCTGTTTTTAAAAATTTAGAAAGTTGAAAAGCTATACTAGAGAGAAAAATCTATGTAAAATAGAGATGACAACGAGGTGGGTTGAGAGTCGGAGATACTCTCCCCTATTATTGTCCTCACCTCGTCGAAATTTTTAGTCTATGTCCCACTCCATTCTCATATTTCGAGAAGAGAGATCCAGGTCGAGGAATCTTCATTTCAGGACGTAGATTTTCATGGAAAATTAACAGTTTAGTAATGAATTTTAATTATATTAAGAATTTAAAAAATAAATAATTTATATAATTTATATATTTTTACTGA